TCCACAGCAAGCCAACCTCCGTCACATCATCAGTGCACCTAGTCGGTGGGCGGCCGCTGACTTTTGTGCTGCCGAGGTCTCTATTCTTTTTTTTTTATGATTGGACAATTCATACCAATTGACCTAGTCCCATGCTAAGCTGGTGAAGCTTGTGTTATGGGTACTAGACAACGGATATACATACATAATATACATAGATAGACCTAACACATATAAATACATATTTAAACACCCAAGACCTAAGCACAACACCAAATGCTCATCACATCGATGTTTTTGTCTCAGCCGGGGATCGAACCCGGGACTCATGGATTCGCAGTCAGGGGTACTAACCACTAGACCAATGAGCCGTCAAGGAACTACTTAGCTCTTTAAAAAATGATCACCAAATAGATACAGAAGTGTGGGGCCTAGCCTAGTGAGACAGATGTGAATACAGTATTCGTTCTGTCCCGCTCTATCGCGTATGGCCGTACCTATATTACGTCATTGTGTGTTAGGTTTTTTCGTTACTGAATTTCTTGATTCGGTCGCCGCGCTCAAAGCCCGCGATAAAAGCTATGCAATAGCTTAAAAAACTCGTACATATAAAACAACGAGTCATATATTCTAATGATATAAAAACTTGTCCACTTGTGTAATGACCGGTTAACATATAACCGGAATAATTATTGCAAATTGGGTGAGGGTCTGCAAGTGACTTCCAATATTTGTATGCACATGGACTGAATTAAAAACTGGTTTTTGGTTACCGTATGGAACATATTTATACAAAAAACAATACAAGAAATGTTGACATTCGTAAAAAAAAAAAACTTACAGATGCACTTGTGTACACGCTCTAAATGGAAATGGGCAGGGCATATTGCTAGAGAGCGGGCTAAAAAATTGACACGAGAAATAACAAAATGGACTGGACCGAAAGATGTATAGGACGACACAAGTTAAGATGTACAGGTGACATTATAGAACTAGCGAGGAAAAACTGGATGTTGGTAAAGTCAAAGAGAAATGGAAAAATATGGAGGAGGCTTTTACCCTAAAGGGGCCATACAAAGACTAGACCACTAAAAAAGAAAAAATAGGAATCTATCTTAATATCAAAATTTCTACTAACACAACTAATTCTAATATTAAGGAATGCAAAGTAACCAATTGTTGTATGAATTTATTATTATTATGAGCTTTAATAATAATAATTGAACATATTATACGACCCGTTACCTCCTCTTTGATCTGATCGTTATGCAGTCGGGTTACAGAAGCTATTCAGGACGTGTCAAACAAATTTTCATAAGACATATTTGGCAGCGCTCAAGAGATTGTGACCTTAGGTACGAATTAGATTGTGAACACGTTATAGTCTCTGGTCAACTTGGTATCCGTGATCTCTTGCCATCAATCCTATTACCAGTTTATCAAGACTCCAATGTCAAAGTGTAACAATGCCGATCACACTTTTGTAATAGTGGAAACCAGATGTGTTGGTAGAAACTTATTTCCTCAAAATAACAACCGAATCTAAAGGCGTATCTTAAATTATGTACGCTTACCAATTAAGCGGTCACTTGTGATCTAAGCCGTATCCAGTTCAACGACTCTTCAACTAGTTGATGATCGCGACGTCTATATTGAAAGACTATCTGTCTATATAAATCATCAATTCGTTGATTTAGAAATATGTACACCGTTGACTGAGAAGGGTATTTTGAAATTAGGTGAATATTGCATTTATAATATTAAAAATTGGTTATACATTAAAATTGGTGAATTTAATTTAATTCGACTTTCCTAGTATTGTAATGATACACAACTTCTTAATAAGGCAGTGTTTATTGCATTATGCAATAAGAGAAACGCATACAAATCTTTATTTCTCATTTTATTGACGAGTTCGCTGACGTAGGGTTGACATTTGTTGACATAAATACAATTAAACGTGTTTTAGTAATTTTATTACTTAACCAATTACTACTACTAAACCAACCATTACTAAACCTGACTTATTTTGAAAAGAGCCTCTTAAAATAAACCGAAATACAAAACTATCTCTAGTTAATAATGATTCAAAAACATTGAATTCAAAATTATTTTATTATTGTTTTATATTAAAGAGTTTTTACTCATCTTTAATTAAAAATTGTATTGAGAAAGTTATAAAAATTTAAATTGTACAATACTTTTAAAAAACAAAACAACTTTATTTCTTTTAATACGTTACAGGACGAATTCTAAATAGTTTATAACAACAGACAACAAAGGAGGATATCATGATGATGTTGTAGGCACTAATATTGTTGTGATAATTTATATTTGAAATCGTAATACGCTTTATATCTGAATGTAACAAACATATTTATTTACTTATTTACACTTTGTTGCTTAATAATATAAAAATTTAACATAATTACATGTAAAGGAAAGACAACTGGCGGCCTTATCGCTTTCGAGCGATCTCTTCCAGGCAACCACTGTGAGAAAAGAAAAAAAAATGTATTAAATTACATAAGGTAGGCAAAACGTGCAAAAATACATATAGGTATTACATATAATTGTTAAGAAAAATAAACTAAACAGGAACAAAAAACAAACTATGCACATGAATCATTATAATTTAATTTAAGATCAGTCTCACGTCAGTTAGTAGGTATTAAAGTTAAAGATACGACGTGGACAGGTAATGTTTGTACAGAAGAACTTTAAAGGAAGGTAGAGAATATTATTGGCTCGCTAGATTTTTTATAATTTGTACATACAATTTAATTCTCCGTTTCAATAGACAACCCTAGGAGGCATTCACCTACATTGATGATTTCATTTCTACAGTGACATGATCATGGGATATTTGCTATAAACAATGAACGCGTCTCACACACTTGATCTTATTTTGTAAAAATGTCTAGTTCAAGGTGATTTACGTTGTCATTTTTTCATACTATTAATTGTGTATGGAATTTATTTAATACATTTTAAGAAATTAGTCCTAGCTTTAAGTCGTGGGTAAGTTTTTATATGGAATTCCGTTTTATGATCACTATTAAAAAATTAAAAATAATTACGTCTTTGCACACATAACACAATAAAAAAATATTTTATAATAAATAATTAGTGTTACACTCATAATTTTGTAAAATAATCAACAAGTTATATTATTATAAGAATAATATAACTTGTTGATTATTCCTCAAAAATAGAAATTAAATTATAATTATAGGTAAACAAAAATGACCGTTGATTTAATTTATGCAATGTTCAACAACAGTGAAATTAACAATAGGTCACAGACAAATTGTTCTGTTGACATATCCGATTATCCAGACAACATTTCACCATGCTTTGTAGGTATTATATTCAGGCCATAGTTTATAGAACTTTATTACACTGATGGAAAACGTCTTTTGTTTGTTGATGTCTCTTCACAGTTCACGATGCTATGATACTTTACCGTACGAGTGATAATATTCTTTATAATGATATCATTAGTTATATAACTAGGATACAATAGGATAAAGATTCGTTTGTTTGCATTGAATATTCTCCAAAACTACACGACTGATTTGGATTTTTTTTAACCATTTGAACCGTAAGTCCGTAAGTTATCCCTGATGAACATGGGCTTTAGAATAGTTTCATAAAATTTCCGTAAGAAATTACGATAGGTGTGAAAATATCAATAAAAATTGCGAAACCTATTGAGAAAAGGTTTGTGTTCTCTGGTTGTGGTCTCTACCAACCAACCAGCACTGTTGGACACGTCTGCTCCACAGCATAATGCTGAGCCAGGGCCACTTACAACCACAACACACATTACACACTTAAAATGTACCTAATTCTTTAAAAAAAATTTTTTTTAATATTTTCTTTCTTTTTTTATTATTATTATTTTGTATGTTTCTGTGTGTGTGTTTCGTTGGTAATAAATGTTATGTCTATGTCAAAGCGTTTTCCAGTTTTATAGAACACATCAATATTTATAAAACGTCCGCGATACCATATGTCTAGAAGTAAAATATTGTTTTTGCAATTAAAAGTATATTTACCGTGATAAGCTTTAGGCTAGAACATCGTGCTACAAACGAATTAATGCGGGGGGCACAGCTAGTAATAAAAATTAATCTAAAATAAGTTTAGTCACTTGGCCAATTACCCTTAATGTTGGGCGTCCTCGCCATATTGCGTAATATTAACGTTGAGGGTTAATAATTCCACGCTTAACTAATTCGATAACACAATTTTTAAGAGTTAGTTATAATAAGAAGCACAGTTTCAACAACAACAAGAGTTCCAACTTATTTATAATAACAGCTAACTAGAGCTAATTTACTTCAATTCATTTGTTTCTTTGGCTACTATGTCGTTAACAAAATGTTTCTTTGTTGCAGATGCTATAGCTATCGAAGAGTGGAAAATGAAGATTCCGAAATCCTTCAACCAGCTGTTGGGATGACAAAGGTAAATTAAAACAGTTTTTAACACACCTTTTAATAGAAGATTCAGAAATACTAATCTTGCAGTATATTACATATTAACGAGTAGGTACTTGGTAGAAACATCAGTCAATCTCTTATGAAAATATAACGGCTTGACTCATATTTTAGTTAAATAAACTAAATATTAGTGCAAATTAAGGCTCTCGAAACCCAAAGAGCTTTTTCAGTGACGTACCTACTGTTATACATATATTGTTTGTCTAGTTTCTAACATTGAAAATATACATAATAAATAACTCCAAAATCGAATAAAACTTATGTCGATCAAATAAATAGCATTTTGAACATGAATCACCCATACATGTATACAATGTTATATACATTGTATATATCTTATCTATACTTTTATCTGTTTTGTGAGTTTAACTATACTAGTAAAATTTATGTGTAATTTATACTGTATATTTGACTGTTATGATTACTAATAATTAATATTTAATCTTATAAGCTCATATTTTAAATGATTAAAGTCAGTTATGTGTAATTTAAAACATTGTTCTAGTAAGAAAAATGTCGCAGACACTGGGTATGGGTGGGGAGAGGCGGTATTCGGTGCCCTCCAACCCAATGCTGCACGACCCTCGCGGCATGCACTCCGAGGACTTGCACGCCTGGTCTATTTACAGGTATGTTTGTCAACAAGGAACAAAATGCCCTCGACTTTCGACGTCAAAAGATTCGTATTTGTATGCAAACTATTGCAGGTACGAGCCTTAGATTTCTCTGTCTATTTCGTGATCATTTATAGGCAAGTAGGTGATCCACCTTCTGAGTCTGATACACGCCGTCGATTTTTCTAAGGCGGTTACCTCACGATGTTTTCCTTCACCGTATACGCGAGTTTTAAATGCGCACATAGACGGAGTCCATTGGTTCACAACGGGGTATGGAATCTATAAACTCTGGGAGATGAGAGTTACACGCCAACACTGGTCTTGCAACTACAACCACGGTTTAGTGAAATGTATTTAAGTGGTCATGGTGTGTCTTTGACGGGAACCACTAAACATAGATAAAATCTCGCAAAACACTGTAAACTCTCTGAAGTATTTTTTTAATTTATAATGTGTCCGAGTATCCCTCTATAAACACATTTATTTAATATGAATTTATAAAGACTCATTCATTGAATAAATAATATTTTTCAGGCAAAACCTAAATTCCGACTTTACTGACAGCGCCCTCGGTAGCACGGACAAAAGTCCGCTACCATATGGAAACTTCCAGCTTCGTGATACCACTGTGCAGTCAATATTGTCCCACCCAAGATATGGACCAAAGTAAGCGAATAAATTACTTTTTTACCATTTTTAATTGGGGTGGCTGTATTTACTAATCTCTTCCAGGAAACCAGTTTTGGTAGAATTTTTTGATTATCATTTTAATATATTTAATTAAAATTGCTTACGATACAACAGTGCAGCCGTATGTTTCTTGTTTAAGCTGACAAATTATTATTCAATACATAATATTCTTATTTTTCAGAGTACCTAATAATAATAATACTTAAACATTCATAAATTGAAAATTGAAACAAATTTAAAAGTCTGGTCCCTGTGGCAGTGTATAACGCTGGCAGCATTTCCTTGCTCTATTGCGATTCTTATTCGTTGAACGAGGAAAGCACCAGCTCTGGGGTCACCAGTACCATACATAAACAGATTAAACGCGTCCAAACGTTTAGTAGAGTAAAAGGTTTTACTAATTAAGGCTTATAGTACCTTTTTGATGAACAAAGGTCGTATAACAATATACATTGTCATATTTAAAAAAAAAACAATTATAAACAACTTAATTAATGGTTTCAGATCAGCACTGGGTTCCAATATGTACACTTACCTCAAGTTCGGCCTACCGCGCGTATTCCCACCAAATCATAACGGATCACAGCGTTCTGGAACGCCAAAGCCAAAAACCTCAATTGGGAGTGGAATGAAATCTGTTCCCAGGTATAGCCTCATAAAATATGTAATTTTTTTAATTTTTTTGGTTTACGAATGGTCTTTCGGGAGGAATCTGCCCAAGTTAGACACTGAGAGTAATTAATGTAAATTAATGATGTCTAAATATTTTATGCCTTTCTTAAAAAGTGCTTCAACATACTTTTTTTATAATTCCACCCGTATCACCACAACTGTGAGTTTCTTAAGGCAGTTTTTGTCACGCATCACCACTATGTGGTGCTGCGTGCCAGCACCAGCTGCTCACTTACGACTATCGACATTATTATTATATTATTATTATTAGAAAAGAGCGTTATTCTTAAAAGGCCGGCAACGCACTCGCAAGCCTTCTGGCAATGTGACTGACCATGGGTGGCGGTATCACTTAAAATCAAATGAGCCTCCTGCCCGTTTGCCTTCTGTTACATTAAATAAAACGATTTAACTAGTAGTAAATCGGCAACCCAGAGACAGAAATATAGAACTGAGTAAGAGTTTTCTTTCGAAATTCGCTAGCCCGCCTGCTGAATGTCTATGGATAGCAAAAGTTAATTTTAACACTCATTTAGGATCCAGAGACAAAGCAGAGGCGTGAGAGAAACGTCGTCTGGTTATGACAGTTCAGACAACGAAACCTCAACCAATTATAAATACAATCGGAAATACCGCTCGGATCCAGACTTCCGGTTACAGAATATGCAACAGTCTTATCAGGTTAGTTAATATATTTTATTACAATTTTCTCGGAAATTCAAGAATCAATTAAAGAATTTTCTCAAGGACCAAATTTCATGAATTTTTTTGGTTTTCGTAGTTTGAATGGTTTGAGTGGTTAGAATTGAGAATTCAGTGGTTTTAAGGTTTTAACCACGCATGGGACAGATATATTTTATAGAATGTTATGTTTAAACTTCATAATGCAAAATTATGTTATGGTCGAGGTCTATTCCAAATAAGGGTCCAAGTTTCACGAAAGTAAGTTCAGTAGTTTTTAAGTCCACGCACCTCTGGAGGGAAGAGACAAACATTTACAATTTAAAGTATATATTATATTTAAAATTTTGTGATTATGTACACACATTTCTCCAAAACTATATAGAGATGCCTGTTCCAACTAAGCGTCCAAGTTTCACGAGAATCAGTTTAGTAGTTTTTATGTAATTAACATTTCTGCAAATGTATAAATAAAATATTGAAAGCATATTTAAAGTATAAAATTATTGACAGCATGCCACTGGAGTGCCATTAGTCGCGATGCATCAAGCTGGTATAAGAGAATCGCAATGGGGGACTTCGAAGCATAAATCAGTGAGTGAAGCGAACCTGCTGGGTATTGATGCGCGTACGCATCGCTCTTATACAAACAGACGGAACAGCGTCGCTGATTTTGTACCGGATAATGATCATCAGAGGTAATATATTTTTTATAAGTTAATATTATTGCAAAAATAAAAAGAAATGTGTACGGGGCAAACAATTTAATTGTTGATAATTAAATTGATAATATGTCTGATTTATAACAATTTTACTCATTTAAGTTTAAGATATTTTAAGGAAAATATTTGTCTATATGACAGTGACTGGAGATTTTTTTTGTTCAAAACATATTTATGTTCAGGTAATTAGACAGTAGTAAAATCTAAATAGCTAAATACTTCCAAAAGAAATGCTGGGTTTTTTTTAAATACTACTGTAACAAAAAACTCAATAAGGACTCCCCGTCAGTACTTAAGTATTATTTGTGTTAAACATTAACATTATCTTTGTAACAATATAGTACAAAAAGTAATCCACATTGCAAGAAATTTATAAAATAATTTAACCATATAAATATAAATTATTTTTTTCCGTAATTTGCCGTTACGCAATGATTCTGTGAATTACGTTTTAATGATCACTCGCTGCACTCATTAGCACATACACAAAAATGATTATTGAGTTAATCTAATTCAAAATAATGTTATTTTAGCTATCTGATGCCAGCCTCTCATCTGGGCGGTCGTATGTCGAAGGCCGGAAGCCATATGTCTGTAGCTCACTCCCGGAAGCATTCCACACTTAGGCCTGGTGACCACCTTGATGGCTATACCCACTCCGCGTATATATACCCTAATTATTATGTAAGTATATTTTAGTTTTTTAAACCGAAAGGTTTTAGTTTTCTACTTTAATTATTGTTTTATGACAAGACAGATAATTAAATATTATAATCTAGCCTGTTTGTTGAAAATCAGTTTTCAATATAAGTAAAGAAATATATAAAAATCAAAATATGGATGTTTCCGTTTTTATCTCTCGTGAACTTAATGTTTGTTTTTGAAGTGAAACTTCTTTATGCGAATGAAGGTAAATTTTTACGGAAACGTCATGAAGATGTGCAGCGTTTTTGTCGAAGAAAAAGGAGAGAGCGATTGAGATAGATTGAGAGAGAGTGTAATAATTTGTATTAATTTTCGACAATTTTAATATTTTCATGACAATGAAATTCATTAAATTCCTAACATATCTTCCATTTCCCCTCCCTCTAAGTCTCAGAAATCTAAAGTTTTAGATTTGTATAAATATAAACAAGACTTAAAAATTAGTTTGCCAAAGAAGTTTCACTTCTGACACGTGTTTTTCTTATTATTTTGTTCAATTTGAAAAAAAATAGATTATTAAGAGCCCGCATAGTCACTTGGTACTCCGATAACGTTGTCAAGTTTTGTAATTATAAATCTAATCTAAAACTATCATTCTTTTACAAGAAAATTTATCGGAAAACGACAAACAATCAATATTTTACTATCTTATAAATCATAGTTGTGCGCGAAAGGTCTGGTAAAATAATAATTCTAAAATCAAATATTGTAATGTATAACATAGTTGTAATTTATTAAATATTCCGTACCTAATTAAAATAATTTTACGCTTTTATAGTCTTTGTCCTCTATTAATGCCTACATTGTAATAAATACATCACTATTTTAGGTAAACAGTTTAGAAATAACGTCACCCGAAAACAAATCAACGCTGCTTGTCTCAGGGTTGAGTTTTGAGGTGAAGTCTGGAGAGATATTGGCGGTTTTGGCGACTTCTCAGTGCGAGGCCACTGGGCTCTTGGACGTTTTGGCTGGGGCTAGAAAGGTATAGCATTATTTAAGGACAAATATATGTTAATTAATTAGTCAGGATCGTGTTTTAATTCTTACTATAAAGTACTCTGCTGTTGCTAAGCGTTTGTTACTATATTATTATGATATTTTTTTTCTATATGTATTGAGAAATAACAACTGAATGTCCTTTTACGCCTAATTATTTTACTTGTATTTGTAAATATATATACATATACGATGCTTAATAGCATCTATGCAAAAACAATATATTTTACGTAGCTAAGTATGCGTTTACTGAATTATTTGTTATTTATGGTTTAGATTATTTTGATAAGTGGTGTTAAAATTATTATCAAAACAATAATCTTTAATATGCTAATTTGTTGGCAACTGTTTGGAACTCTCATAAATATTATTCTGTTGTCTGTGTATTGAGAAAATAAAAAAATTTAGTCTTTGAACAACCTCCAAGCGTGTTTTAACATTTTCTAGCTTATAAAAACAATTTACTAGCGAGAACGCTGCCGTTGCATTCAACTATGGTGACTCTAAATTTTGACTCTAATTTCATTTCATTTTAATTTCAAAATTGCTTTGATATACCTATTTATATATTTTGTTTCAACTTAGGAAGCCCACGAAAATTAAACTATTTACAATAATTTTCAGAAACTAACGGGTGACATAGTCTTAAATGGTCAGCCGGTTGCGTCTTCAACTCTTCGGAAAGTAGCAGCATATGTCCGTAAAGACACGTCCCTATGTCCCTCTATGACCGTGGAACACACTCTACGGTTCCATGCCACCTTACGCACGCCCAGACATAACATGAACCAGGTCAAAATGGATGATCGAGATCGGGTAAGTGATTTTAGGAGAGGCATTTTAGCAATACAGAAATCAAAAATTATCAAAAGAAGAAATTAGTTACATAAAATATAATAAATTATATATTCAAATAATAATAGAAGATATTTACTAAAGAAGTTTCGATAGCCGATGACACGTTGATGTTTTCTGTTATTAGTATTTAAAAGCTTAAACACTAGACTCTAGTTGGTTCCGGATCGAAGGACCACAAAAATACCTAAAGATAATTAAGTCATGGCAGGTGAGTACGCTTGTACATGTCAACTAACATTCCGATATAAATGCGGACAACGCGCAATCGAATGGTCAAGTTTGTACGTACAGTTGGTGAGATGTGTCTCTAAACTTAGTTATATCTTTTTGGTAGGCTAAGGTTCAATAGTTTATCATTTTAAAGTCATTCTAACACCTATAAAAATGATCTAGATCGAAATTTCTTCCAGATAAACCTTCTGATTGAAGAGCTAGGATTGGAGCAAGTAAGAGATACAAACGTATCACGTCTAACTCGTTCTGAAGTCCGTCGTCTGAATGTCGCGTGTCAGCTCTTACTTGACATGGCGATATTGATTTTGGACCAACCCACCAAGGAAATGGATATATTCGACACGTTCTTCCTCGTTGAATATTTGAGGAATTGGGCTAGTACCGGTCGTGTCGTTATTATGTCGTTACACCCTCCTACATATGAGATCTTCGCTATGTTGACTAAGGTATGTTTAACGTTTTTAATTGTTTAACCGTGTTAGAATGTTAGTTCAATCAGCATTTTGTGTTGTGTACGGACAAAGTACTCAATAATTAGTTTAGAAAAACTTTTATATTGATGGAGGTAAAAATTTATGTAAAACCAAAGTATTTATTTATCACTTCAAATCGAAATGTATTTATTCAAATGGGTTACCATGCATGCCAAAATTAAATTGAGCGCTACAACTGTGTCCCGGCGTTCACTGCTACATCATGAATCCTGGGATTGATTTCAGGATTAATATTAATTATTTCGGGAAATCTATCCGTAACATTAAGGAATTTGTAATACATACGATTCTCGAATCTGAGGTCGTGCGTTTAAACCCCGACTGTAAATCAAAGTCTTTCTTTGCACTGAATTGACATTCATTGGTGCTTTAAAGAAAACAAACTTTTAAATAAAAATCATAGTTCCAACTCGCGCTAGGCCTGCGTGGTTATTATGGTCGTTTGCCGTCTAGGCTAATTAACTATGAATATTAAATAATGATTCAATAAATTTAATATGTAGGTGGTGTTAATATCAGCTGGTCGCACGATGTTCAGCGGTTACAGAAGAGACATGTTGCCATATTTCGCCTCAATAGATTATCCTTGTCCTGCCTTCAAAAACCCCTCGGACTACTACTGTAAGTGTACTTTCCCGCATTAAATTTAAAAATAGTAATGTATGCCGAAATTCGCAGAATTTTAACGGCTTTCAATTTCGCAAAATTCCGTTGCTTTCATTTACTTCAGATTATTAAGAAATAGCTGCCCCCGCGAACTCGGAACTTCGCTTCGCTGTAATATGTTTTTTTACTTACCGTTTATTAGTTACATAGAGACTGTTCGCTTTTCTGGAATAAAAATCTAAGTACTAAATAAAACTGAATTTTTCAATTGTTCTTTTATATTTTTCAAAATGTTCTCTGCATAAAAACCTACTGCAGAGTTCAAGGAATAAATTTAAAAAAAACTCGAATAGGTCCAACCGTCTTCGAGTTTCGCGATTAGCAACATATTTGCGAATTATTTTTATTGATATACATAGATATGAATTAACAAACTAACTGTAGTTCACATTTACTAGGATTTACTAGTCATTGGACCATAATATACACAATATGTTATAAATGTCTAAATAGGTGATTTATGTCAAATATTGACACTGCGAAACTGTCTAAAGAAAAAGTCCATACAAACATTGCATTTTCATAATTATTTAATTCGCTTAAATTAAATTAATTAAAGTATAAATTAACCTTGTTAGTTACTAATAATTTAATTGATACATTGTACGGAGCATTACCTGTAAGAATACCATGCACTGATTTTTAACTTTTATATCATTCACGTAAATTAGTTTAAAATATATAATGTTTTCTACTTTACATATATATTTATTAATTAATATGTTTATTTTATAACAAAAATATCTATATATATATATATATATATATAATAATAAAAAAAATATAAAAAAATGTTGTCCAAAAAATAAAATTTAGGGTTACCCATAACATTTAGTGAGATGAAAAATAATAGATAATATGTATGTGTGTGATAAATAATAGACCGATATGCACACAAAACTTCACGAAAATCGGTCGAGCAATTTCGGAGGAGTTTAATTACAAACACCGTGATACGAGAATTTTATATATTAGATTTAACACTGATATGGCTGACTTAAATTATTATTTATTATTGGTTTTGAAATTACACACTCACAACGCTGGCTCGGGAATCCATAATGTAAAAATATTCAGGTTACTTTAATTTATATAAACCTTGCGTGCAAAGTATTAAACAAATCTACAAGATCTCTATGATTTCTTAACATCATTATTATTATTAATTATAATATTCCAATCTTTCAGTGGACCTCGTAACATTAGACGACCTATCAGCAGCCGCCATGCTGGAGTCATCAGGTCGAATTGAGGCTTTGGCTGGAGTATTTGCAGGCGCTCATTCCGCCCCAGAACCACCAGCTCCTGTTCCTCTACCAGCACCTGTCTCACGAGCCAATGTTGCCGTCCAAGCATTCGCTTTACTTGAGTAAGTTATTTAGTTAATTATAAATAAAAAAGAGTATCAACAAAGAATACTGCTAACTAATAATATAATACAGGTAAAAACACATCTCAAAAATACCAAGTAGGTACGGTACATACAATATATAATTGCCAAAATAATACCTAATAAAAGTCGATATGTGCTTAAAGTTATGAAAAGTCAAAGTCAAATCATTTATTTCAATTAGACCACCTAAAATGGCACTTTTGAACGTCAAATAAAATATAAAGATGATTCTAGTTGCCCCTTCCAAAAGGTAGTTTCGTGTAAAGAAGAATGGGCAAGAAACTCCATACTTACTCTTTTAAAATAGGTTTTACAATATTTTGTGTACATTAGTTAAATAATTATATGTGAAGACAATGTACTCCTAGAATATAACTACTATGCTAAAATAGGCACAAAGTATTACTTGAAATTGTGATAAACAAATTGATCTTACTATAGTATAACTAAGTAAGTTTAACCATAAAAAATACTAGATTAAAGATTTCAGTCAAAAAGAATTGAACCCTGTGGTGCCAGTACTAAGCAATTACAATATTTAATTAAATCAAAAACATTGGTTGCGTTATTTCAGAAAAACTATGTTATATACGCAAATGACAACGCTATCTAATGTCATCACTCGAGTGCTCATTGCTGCTGTCATGTCACTCATAATTGGCACTATCTTCTGGGATCTACCTTCCACAGATCCAAAGGTAAGAAACCTCTTATTATCTTATTTTTCTACTGTATTTATTTTTAATTTATTACTATTTTTCGCAAGATATCTTTAGAATATTTAAAAAACAAGTCAAGGAATTACAATAGTTAAGTTAACTTTAATTCATTTAATTCCTCAGGTAGAAAACTTACTACTAAACTTACTTAACTTAAAAAAAAACCTTAGTTATTCTCATTCAATAAGCAAATTCTGTTTTCTTTTCTAGTTTCTTTAATATAAATTAATATTACAGCTCACCCAAAATGACCGTGTAGGATTCCACTACGCAACAATGTGTATAGCTGCATGGCCCATAATTCTATGGATGAGTGCTAGAGAAGCAAGTTCTATGCGGCGCTATGTCGAACGAGATATCGCTGTAGGCCTGTATTCTAGGACCATGTTTATTTTGTTCGATGTGGGTATAATGTTTAAAATTTATTTAATATTTCAATTATGTATCTAGAAAAGTAACTACGTACTACATACTACAAACCAGTACCAGTACAATTATACATATTCTATGTTTTATGGGTGCATTAAATTATGTAATATTTGATTTTGACGGGAGAACGTCTAATAAATCTATGAACGCTGGCTGCACGCACGAAAAAGCATGAATAATTGTCCAGTTACGCTTCTTGTACGGTTGCGCCGCATCTATCTCTCTTCCACTCGATTGGCCTATGCGTCCGAGCATTCACAATTTTTTTGTATCCATACAAAATACAGACAATCATTTTTTCATTAACTTCATGCGTTTCATTTTATTTATAGCAGCTTATTTATGAACGCACTACATAGGCTAGTCAAAAAAATAATATTAAAGCCCGACAAAAAAAACTAAAAAACTACTCATCAATATACTCATACAAATTAGAATGTCATGTTGCGAACTAGATCCGTGATATTAAGAGAGATAGAGAGAGAGAGAGATAGTTCGTTATATTGTAAATAACTTTTCTTAACTAGTTTGTTATAGTTATCATAAAATATGCATTTATAACTCACAATTTCCAAGAATTAGACCAAGTACAATCGAATTGATGCCACACTGCAATGACATCTCAAAGATTGTTGTGATTTGAATAATTTAGTTTAAATAGTTTTCCGCAATGTGGCGACTTTTTTTTATTTTATTGGTGAGGCTGTATGTAATATACAATTAGAATTAATTATATTAATTTTCTTTTACACCACACTATGAAATCATTATAATTGAAAATAGTAAAAAAACTAATATCGTTTCAAAGTCAAAAATCATTTATTCATATAGGTAACACAATGTAAACTAAATGAATGTTAAACAAGAAATACTCGTATACATTAAATGCTTCTAATTTTAGATTTACTGCCAGCTCAAATCAAGGGCGTAGAACGGAAGAGAAGAACTGGCAATAAACTTTTAGTTTTCTTAATATGTCCAAAAATATCCTCTGTTACTTGCGATTTTCACTTTTATTTTATCATATATATTTTAACTGCATTTCTCTATTTTATGTAAAGGTTAATAACAGAATTAATAAATAAAATATGTAATTGAAAATTTCGCTTTTAGCAATTTTTAGAGCTCTGGTCAGCGATACTGACATGGCTGGCGTATTTGGTGCCAAGCTACGCGATGTCAGGATTGTATGCGCAAGCGCCGGGCACATTCGACGGGTTCTACGGTTATTTAGGTATTTCATTAACTCATTTATTATAAGATTACTTCATTCATTTATTTGTTTATTTGTCAGCATTTAACATTAACTCGTACAGTGAAGGCAAACCCAGAAATCGAAAGAGGCACAGAAAGCTGATCAAATACTTGTCAATAAAATAAAAATCATAGAAACAAATGCCATCTGATTCTGAGACCCATAAAGGGTTGTAGCCCCTATTTTTATTAAATAACGTCACACATTACAGGTTACACGGTGCTATATCTAATAAGCATACAAATGCTATGTCGTGCGTCAGTCTTCGTCATACCGATGGAGAAGACGGCTTCCATCATATCCGGTTTCTGCCTATTGCTGAGTACCCTGGTCTGTGGAGTTACCCTGCATGAGCAGGACCTGACGATGTTCACAAAGTGGCTGGAGTACGTGTCTCCAGCGAAATGGGTGCTACCTGAAGTTCTAAGGAGGGAGCTGAGCGAAACTGCTTTGAGAAGTAGCATCAGCAAGGATCTTAGGTGTAATAATAAACAGGTAAGTTTATATTATATTAATAAAATAAACAGTTTGAAATAGTGAAGAGGAAATATTTATAAGCACCAATATTTTACATGTATGATACATTTTTAGGGGTTTCTCAACCATTTTTATGTCGCGACCCACGAAAAAGCAAAGTTAGGTACTTAATTATAATTTAGTTTAAAACACTTTATTATAATAATTCATTCCTTGAATAAACGAATCTTTTGTACCTATATGTAGTATGTATTTATTATTTTTCAACAGACTGCGACTCCCTTTTAAACTAAACTCCACTAAACCAAACCTCCCAAGGGTCGTGACCCCCCGAAACAATGTATTTAAGATAGTATAGTAGTGTGGACTCAGTTTCCGGAGACGCACATTTGGTCCGATGTGCGTAAAGTCATAGCTAAGCCAAGCTCCTTCCAGAAGCTCAGAAGTTTTCTGAGCATTTCGCAGGCTGCACGTAGCGACCTCACTGCTCCGAGGATTATTTTGTAGGGCTTATGTATAATATAGGTTGCCTTTTCAGTTGACGCTAATTTAGTCAAAAGGATCCATTGTAACGTAAAAATTCTTTTCAGAAACAACGTCTCGACATAGTTGTTTATTCTCCGCCCTGTCCACCCCCAAATGGCACTCAAGTACTGGCAAACTATGGTTATTTGCGGACAAATCGACTATGGGAGGAGACCGAAGACAGTTTTCTAATATCATTAGCAGTTTTCTATGCGGTATTCGCTCTAGTCGCTATTATTGCATTTGTTTTTGATTGCACTAAATATGCGAAGTCTAAAGATAGATCTGCGTTGAAAGGTCACAAAGTTACGGTAAACACACCGTGAATAATACAATTTTGTCTTGAATAATGGATGTTAGGGAAATTGAAGTTAAAACAAATAAATTCATAATTTATCGGATACATTGATGTTATTAAATTTAAATAGAATTAATTGTAAATTACATGAAACGATTCCAAAATTACGATTGCTATAAATTTGTCATTAAATGCAACTAACCTATAAAAACTTATTTGTGTATAAATAATGCGCGAGGACACAATTCCCTAAATTTTGGAATCAAACCTCGGTTACATCTGTATTAGATTATTAGGGCTTTACTTTTCGTCGAATTTTAAATCCAAATGGTTGTAAGATGGTGCCCGTTCTTTCTGGTGCTTTTTGGTTATGAAGTCCTTTTATCTTCTTTAATTTTTATTATATTTGTACCAGACGTAAGTCTACTTTAGATATTTTTAGTGTTTAATCTCAAAACGTCTCATTATACTGAAAGTTATAGAAAGTTTGTTGTGAAGGGGACAGAACTACATTTTACCAATGAAAGCAAAGGCCGTTCCTAAAGCGTTCTACAAGAATTTTAAATAATTAATTTTTACGACAGTCACTTCATAGCTTTATTCCCTCTAAAAAATATATCCTTTATAATGTGTCTACATTAAACTTTTTCTCATGTTCCTTTTACTATATACTACCCATTATTATATGAGCTGTCGTAAATATATAGAAATCTGCACCTCAACTGTCCCATTATTCTGTAAAACTAATAATAATTTCAATACTTTTTCATTTATATAAATGATAGTCTTTCAACAACCGTGCCGCTCATATCGCAAATTGGTATTACGTAGTTCGTTGGCTATTGAAAGATACAGAGTAGGCGTGGTATAACCTTTTATTTAACTTTAGTTTAGTGATTTTAGCGTGATCTATGTACAAATATTAGCAAATGTGAAGGCTGAAATTCGTCTTCCGTCCATATCTACTTAAATTTTAATTAAATTAATATAAGTGTATAAAATTGTATATTTTATTTGTATTATTAGCATTGTGTTGGTAAAAAGTTTCAATGCTTTATTCTTTGTAAACAATTCAAACTTATATTTCAGAGAGACTGTTCAAGTATTACGTAACGAATTTAAGGTGGGGGGGGGTCGTCTTGTAAAACGTTACGATGCGGGGCGGGGATTGAATTACGCGTTATTGTTAATATTATTTTCGACTTACACCGCATAATAGTAACTTTTACGTATAAAGTCACTAGGTGGTCACGAAACGTTTTACTATACTTGGGTACAGTACTGAACTTGTGTACAGAAACACATTACGGCGCATAACATGGGAGGGGGTCAATAATCTTTAAAAATTTCGTTACGTAATACTTGAACGCTGCCTTATAAGGGAGCTATGTATTTATAATAAAAGCCATAATGTAGAAAAATTAATTTTACGTTACCCATTCGAATTTGTATGAAATAAAAAAAAATATTATTCGTGCGTATTTATTTGTAACAAAAAAATATATAAATTAAAATTTATGTACATGATTAAATCAGTCTTTAAAACTTAAATTTGGTATTACTATAATTTTGAATAAATAAATAAATTTGTATAAATTAACTATCAGTGTGAAACAATTCATGATATCGTTTACAAATCTCACAAAGGCAAGGCGACATTTTATAATTATATTTCTTTTTTTCTGTATTGCACAGTTTGTCGTAGTCGATGTATTGACTTTCTAATAATAATTTCTGGATTCGATCTTCCCTGGTTCCCAAGTCAGACTCCATAGATGTGCTGAAAAATAGAATAATTAATATAAGATTAGGAAGAAGATACAATTAGGAAAGAACCATGGAGCTATTCTGTAACTTGTAAGTCAAAGAAGTTTTAAATTAAAACTCTGTTCTTTTTTTAAATGTAATAGGAGGCAAACGGGCAAGAGTCTCATCTGATGTTAAGTGATACCGCCGCCCGTGGACACTTACATTGCCAGAAAGCTTGCAAGTGCGTTGCCGGCCTTTTAAGAATTGGTACGCTCTTTTCTTGAAGGATCCTGAGTCGAATTGGTTCGGAAATACTTCAGTAGGCAGCTGGTTAAAAAAACTGCCTTAAGAAATGCTCAGTTGTGGAACGACGGTTGTCCACTAATGTCCAGGTGATACGGAGGGTATTTTGTATTCTGCCATGATATCCGGTAATGAAACTCAGCTGCAGGTCCGAACAACTTCAAATTGGGTACTTTTAAGCATAGCGTGTCGCAGCTCTTAAAGAATTCCCTATTAGGCCACAACTTACCAGATAATTAACGACTATTTCTCCTAAAAACTCATTGTAATTCTGGGTCAAAATATTAAAATCTCTATTAGCCAATTTTGAAGACCCTTATAATGCTTTAGAATTAACTAAATATATTTTATAAACACTTAGTTGCATACAGAAATATAATACAATAGACTTAATTAAATGAAAAGGATTTAGTTAATATATATATAATAAACTATACTAGATCCTAGAGTAAATGACGTTCTACAAAAACCAAGAAGACAAAAGATGTATTAGAATCGTATCAAAGAGAAAGCAAAAAGAAAACTTCAATTACAAAGATGGGCAGATGGACTGCCGACGAGATGGAGCAAGCTAGCCCAGGGGCCTTAGTCAAGATGCTATAACAGTAGTGTATGTAGAACGTCAAAAACTAAATTTGTATGAAAACTTTTCGACACGAACTGTCATTTCCATACAAATTAAGTTTACGACTTTCTACATACACTACTGTTAAGGCATCTTGACTAAGGCCCCAGGCCAGCTTGACTATCAAACTGGTTGCTAAAAAAAAGTAATCAATTGTTTTTTCTTACCAATTATTTGTTTTTAAGTAACGGTCATCGAATAAAGGTTGTATTTATTTATATAGTACTTAGAATATATATACACATGTGTGGGCTTTTAAGTAAATACAAATTACTTGAGCCTACCGTAACTTATATGGTAGTAAATACCTGTGTAGATGTGTGCGTTCGTGTGTTGTGAATTAGATTCTACAGCCATTAGTACAATTCTAAATCTAAATAAATCTATACGTTTTACTATTCTATTATAAATATAAAAGATTACTTTTATCGTATGATAACGAATGTCTAAAACTACCTACTGGGCAGATTTCAAAAATAATTTCATTAGAATGCTACATTATTGTGACCTATACTTATTTACAGAAATGATAGGCCGCTATCGAATAGGTTTAATATACCGTAAGACATCAGTATTCCGTGAGTTATTGGCGCCCCATACCACATCGCTCGTGTCAACATTATACACGTTGTACTGACGACGAGGTCGCCTATTTTGGCAGACGGAGATACGGGATTTGCTTGTCAAGGGACTGAATCAAGGTAATTACTATTGGTATTAATTTAAATTAATGTTGTACAATCGGTAATTATCATTAAAAACAGCTTAATTTTGAAGCCGGTTTTTTTTAAAGGATTTTTTTTATTGGTTGTTTTAAATTTAGAACATGACTACATAGTCTTCAACTAAGGCGCGAAACACACAGAAAAGGCGTAAGGCGAAGGCGCGGCGCAGGCGCAGATCCGGCGTGGAACAGATCCCAGAACAGAACAGACAGGCACGGATGCGACTTAAATTATATCAAAGAGGCGAAGAGACGGCACAAAGAGTCATTAACGCAGGCTAACTTTATCGTGATAGCATGTCTTCCTCTTCAGATGACGAAGATGCGCTCGCGTTGCTGCAACTCATTAATGTGCAGAGACATCGAAGATATTGGAGACGTGCCTGTGCCACGCCCCTTGAGTATAAATAACAACGTGCCGCCTACGTACATTTTGGATTGACCTTACGCCTTTTCTGTGTGTTTCGCGCCTTAGCTATTATTTCATGTTCCAAAACGATTAGGATATCATGTAGCAATTTTATAGAAAAAAAATACAATAAAAACTGAATTCAATTTAAGATGATCTAAAATATAATTATCGTAACATTTATCAATATGAAAAATACTAAAGCTTAAGAAAATATTTTTTTTTATAACAGTGGGCAAAACGAGCGTCAGGCTCATCTGAGCGATAAGTGATATAAATACCAGGGAGATCGCAAGTACGTTGCGGGCTTTTTGTTTGTTTGGTCTTCTGTGGCATACATCGATTTTTAGGTAAAAGGCATGTCATTCTTCACGATGTTTTCCTTCATCGTACAAGCGAGTGTTAAATGCGCACAGACAGAAAGTACATTGGTGCACAGCCGTGGTTCGAAAGCACCACAACAGGGTTATAGGGCGAACGCGCAAGCCACTAGACCAGCACTACTAAAAATTAAAATATTTGTCCAAAATAAATGATATACTACTCACTTGGGGCACCGACACGACGCATGCGCAGCCGGTTCCACAACAAGGCTACAACAAGACCTAGAGCCTTCAGACCGCGTTCGAGACCTCGATCTAGATCTTGATGGCATTCGTCTAGCCTGATTGCATTTGGTCCTGGACAAATGAAGAAATTTCAGGTCAAAAGTAGCTAATCAGATTACACATAATTATTATATATCCAACTAGCTGACCCGGCAAACGTTTGTTTTGCCATGTACATATACCTATTTCAAAAACATTTTTTAGTTCAATAAAAAAAAAATTCTACAATAATAAAAAATATGTTTATTATGGAACATAAGATACATGTATCACTTATTCCACGTCATTAAATTTGAATTTGTAGGCATCCCTACTCATCGGCACAGAAGACAGAGAATGTAGGCCGAGAGAAAAAGCCGGCGTAAAAACAAAAAATAATAGCAAATCATCAAACAACACTTATTTTAAAGCAAATATCGCAAATTAATTAGAAGTAGCCTGTCTAGCACTAGTCCCAGGCCCTTTTATCAACTAGATAATCGTTAACTTTATAGTAAGCCTTTTTACACAGCTTTTCTTTAATACATTTCTTAAATTTATTAAAAGGAAGAGATAAAAGAGCCTCTGGGATTTTATTAAAGATAAGTATCCCTTTTCCCAAAAAAGAATTACTAACTTTAGATAGTAGTACGGGGAAATTGCAGCCTGCGTTTGTTCCGAGTATTAACATTGTGCGTATGTTCTATTCTAGTAAACTTATTACTATTTTTGTATACATACGTAATATTTTCATAAATATATTGCGAGGGAAAGGTAAGTATAATAATTTCGTTAAAAAACAGGTGTTGATCATAGGGGTTGTATCTATATTTATATACCTACTGTACCATAAAAAAATAAAAACAAAAAAAAATTGGGGTGGACTCCCCTTATCACGTAGGAGTTTGAAAGATAGATAGTAGCCGATTCTCAGACTTACTGGATATGCATAAAAAAATGTCATAGGATTTGGTCGAGCCATTTCGGAGGAGTATGGGAACGAACATTGTGACACGAGAATTTTATATACTAGATAAGGTATGATCAATCTTCTGTTCTTACCAGCCGATAACAAATGTTTCGTCGCGAATCAATCCCAATATCTCCAGAACAGCATTTTGCATCAAGTTTTTAATTTAATGCTATTCAATATTTTAATGAGTGGAAGATTTCTAATATATACAACCCGGAATCATTCTCTTGATTGTAACATAGCATTAGCATACAAAAGAAATAGTCAAATTTAGGCCATGACCTGATAGCAACATTTGAAGAAATCATTCCTGATGTCATATTATAATTATTAAAATGTGAAATTGGAAATAAACCGAGTTAATTATTAGTATAGCGACACCTACAATCTGCGTTTACAAATTACTGCGATGACGTCATACCCTGAAATGCGCTAATAATATTATATGTAACAACTTCTCGGCCTTAGGCGCGAAACATACAGAAAAGGCGTAAGGTGAAGGCGCGGCGCAGGCATCTTGCCGCTTCAAAACGCGTCAATACAAAATGTACGTAAGCGGCACGTCACCAATATCTTCGGTGTCACTGCCCAATGCACACAATGCACAATCCCCGCCCCGCATCGTAACGTTTTACAAAAGGACCCCCCCTCCCTAAATTTGTTACGTACCTAATACTTGAACCTCCCTTAGCCACTGGGCCTTAGGGCTTAGTGGTTAAACAAGTCGAGGATTAGGTTGGGGGAACTGTTAATCATCCTTAACATATTAGAAGAAATAAAATAACAAATTATTACATATTCCGATATTTTTTATCAACTGACTGAATGAATAGTAATTTTGATAAAGAAGAACCTTTTAATTTATTTCATTGTTGATTAAGAGTAGTGAGGAAGTGTGAGAGATAAGAGCGAGCGAGACTACGTAGCGAACGAATGGAACGACCGGTGCGCAGTGAATGAATACGCGTTCAAAATTTTAATTAACCTGTTTTGTGGATGTGTTCATAGAAGACATAATTTGGTTCGTTAGTTGCATTGGCCGTGAGTTAGCATCGATGTTAGATTTCGTTAACATCGATGTTACGATATTTTTCGTATAGCAACATCGACGATCATCGAGCATCCCTAATTTATTTGAGATTAATAATTGTGTTCCAGGTGCCATTCGCGCTAGGTTATAATGATATAAATTAACAGCTCAGGGATTTTTAAAAAGAGACAGACACATAAATTTATAAGATTTAACGTGGGAAAAATGAGATAGGAAACATTATACAGTGTATTAACTTTAAATTATTTTATTTGAACATTTTCTGGAAAAGGAACATAGATGTGCAAATAAAATAAATAAGAGATTAATTTAAATAAATTATAAAATTAGATGAAAATTATCAATTTTATTTAAATATCATTTACATTTAATTATAAAAAAAAATTGAAATGAAAAATTATTACTTCAAAACATACAAGTCATAGTTGTCGTTAAGTTGTTTCTAAATCGCACCTTAGGGTTGAAAGTCACATCTTTAAACCACTAGGCCAACACATAGATCATTAACAACATACCTATGATATTGTGCAGAATGACAGACTTGTTTCTGCCTTGCTTCTGAATCCGAAGGACCACAATGACAAGCCTTCACTTTATTGTACAATCCGCAGCCTTGACTCCATATTTCATCTATTCTCACTTTTGTAGCAATCTCAATTTTAGGTGAAAGAATACCCTGAAAACATATTGAATTTCAATGAAATGTCACAAAAAAAGGGTGCGTGTTCTTACGTACGCGCGTAAGAAGTTATACTTCTTTGGCATTATTAAAAATTGATTGCATGCAAATATAAAGAAAAAAACTGTTTGACCGGATTGAAGTTATGTATTATTATAAATTTACAACTATTTAACATAATTTTAGTTAAGTTAAGTTTTAGTCTTCAGTCACCGTGACCACGCACGCTGTAAAGCACGCGAAACGTCGGATAAATTTAAAATTATGTTAAATAGTTGTAAATTTATAATAATACATAACTTCAATCCGGTCAAACAGTTTTTTTTCTTTAAATGTGTAAAGGTTATGTAAATCAAAGACAATACTATGCATGCAAATAATTAATTACAATTAAATAATCAAAGACTGGAAAAGTAGTCATTATAGTCAATAAAGTTCAGTTAAAAAAAAAAAAAAAATATGAAAAATTAAATAAATAAATATTTATTATTATTCTCTTACATTAAGTGTAACATAAATTCTATTATTATTCGAATGTTGTTTTTAAATTATATCCAATGCCGTAGCATCTTCCGTGGGCAACTTCATTCTGTTAATTTTTTGTCACAGTGCGCGCGCCATCGTAAAATTTCACTGTCATCAATTTTTCATAACGCGCCTAAAGTATAACTTCAAAAATATTTTTTTTAGGTTTCAACATTATCAGTAGTATTGAGTTTATGTATTGTATTACCCAAGTATTAAAATTATGTACTTTTTGAAAAGAAACATTTATTATAGCTATTTTTCCTAATAACTTGTATTTGCATGCTTCTAGATCTCAGCAGCACAGTTGACAAAGTGTTTAACTTAAATAAATATAACCTATATAATTAATTGCATTTTATTCTTGTAAAAAAATTCTTTTAAAATGTATTTTGTGCAGTAAAAATTAATAAAAGCTTTGAATATATAATTATATTGAAAAAGAAATAAGAGGTCACTAAGATTCTAATATGTTTCTGAATCATTGTGTGCCATATTAGGAAGAACCAATTTGAATTTATTTTTGTTTACTATGATAAATATTTTTTTTTAATATTTACAGGAAAATCCTTAGATCTGCGCATGAGCAGGTCAACTCCATCTGTAGAACACACATTTGGTGGGAATAGAACATCATTTAAGGAGCCGAGATACTGGGCCAAGATTACACACTCGCCACTTGAGCAATCTTCACACCACTGTACTAATTCACAATATATTGTTTCATCCTCTGGAAAATTATTAGGAAAGTAGTGAAAATAACTGAAATTAGGAATCTAAACTTATATTAAATGGTTATATTAGAGTATTGTACCCTTTCTTAGCAAAGGGATAGTTATTGTTTTAATTTGTTTAATTATGTTATTGTTTGAGCCTTAGTATTTTAAAATACAGTCCTCAAGATCAAAAAGGATTGCAGTGTTGAGTTTTTATACTGAACAATCATAATATTACAACACCAGCCTTATGGATATCAAATGAACTATATAACAATTGAATACAAAAACATAAGGATCTTTGTTGCTATTTCTATAAGAAGTTACAGAATACCAGTGCTGGTTAGATTCCATATATTAGTCAACATTTATATTAGAACCAGTCTAGTAGGATATTGTTGAAAAACTTCTCCGACTTACTTAGTAAACAGCAAATATTACTTAAAGCACAACTCTCTTGAAATCTTTTGCGAAAGTAAAATACATCTCTGAACATAAGTGGAAACATTGGGGGTAAAAGACAAGTTTGATAACTTGTTCCCAATGCAAATACTGTAAGAGAAACACGGCCATCTTGACACAACCATACTCCTGGACAAGAAACCTGTAATTTTATGTTAATCATCATAGCAATGAAAAGATATGGTAGCAAGGAAACCTTAGAATAGTTTCAATAAATGAAAAATGAAAATACTTTAAAAAAAAAATTTACCCAAGAAATATAATTTATAACTTTGCTTTTTGGTAAATTGCATACCACATCGTTATATCTTCATATTTTTTTTAACTGTGGAGTTATTACTTACAGATATTAAACTTACCTTTTGAATATCTATTTCAATCGTCAACTCAATAACTTTCGGCATCATTCGGTGGCATATCGATGATATAGAGTTGACTTATTCTAGTACATACATTACACAAGAATAGCGTAATAATTGCGAAGAACATAACAAAATAAATTAAATCATTTGCTTTAGTTTTGATTGTAAATACAAATTTTTAATTTTTTGATTAGAAACAATTTTATTTACATAATTTGGCAATTTGCAACCCCTGGAACCACAGAAAACATTGCGTTTGTTATAACCTGACTGACTTAAGTGACACTATTGATAATAAATTTGATTTTAATCTATGTTCATTAAGAAATTCGAAATTCGAATTTGTTCAAATTTAAACACTAATTGTGTGCGGTAAAATAAGTTGGCCTGAAAGTAGAAAGTTATTTTTAACTATACGAATTTAGGAAGACTAGTTAATCTGTTAATCATCCAGTTCATTATATTATCGTCAACGTATTTATTATAAACGCTTTGTAGTTTTGTATGAAAAAATATTTTAGGACAATGGTTAGTCCATCTGTTGTTCACTGGTTTCGGTTAGACCTAAGAATTCACGATAACCTCGCACTTAGAAATGCAATTAATGAGGTAAACTATTTAATTTATATTCATAATATCTTAATGTAAAAATAGTCGCAATATACTTTAAATTAAACTCTTTTCAGGCCGAAAACCGAAAGCATATTTTGAGACCAATATATGTTATAGACCCTGAGGTAAAAAATCGCATAGGCAAAAATAGACTGAGGTTTCTTATTCAAAGTTTACAAAACCTGGACACAAATTTGCGGAAACTAAACACACGTCTTTATATTATTAAAGGTATGGCAACAGTATCATTACCAAAAGTCTTTGAAAATTGGAATGTGAAATATTTAAGTGTACAAGTTGATATTGATCCTGAATATGTTGCGCAAGATGAAGTAATAGAAAAGTTCTGTGAAGAAAATGATATTTTCGTAGTAAAACGTGTTCAACATACAGTATATGACGTTCAAGGAATTTTAAAGAAAAATAATGGTAGTGTCCCATTAACATACCAAAAGTTTTTGTCTTTAGTTAGGGATCAACAAGTTAGAGAATGTATTGAGTTAAATAAGAAATTATCTGATTGCTGTAAGCCTGAAGATATAGAATCTAACGATTATGACATTCCATCATTGGAAGAGTTGGGTATCGAAGAATCTTGTCTTATTGAATGTAAATACCAAGGAGGAGAAACAGAAGCATTAAATAGGCTGAATATGTACATGGCTAAAAAGCAGTGGGTATGTGCTTTTGAAAAGCCAAACACATCGCCAAATAGTTTAGAACCAAGCACTACTGTTTTAAGTCCCTATATAAGCCATGGCTGTTTGTCAGCCAAACTTTTCTATCACAAACTTAAACAGGTAGAGTGTGGCAATAGGCATAGTGAACCACCTGTTTCACTAATGGGCCAATTGATGTGGCGAGAGTTCTATTATACAGCTGGGGCTGGTACTAAAAACTTTGATAAGATGGTTGGAAATTCTGTGTGTACTCAAATACCATGGAAGAAAAATGATGCCTATTTGCAAGCATGGGCTGAAGGGAAAACTGGATATCCTTTTGTGGATGCTATCATGCGTCAATTAAGACAAGAGGGTTGGATACATCATTTAGCACGACACATGGTTGCATGCTTTTTAACACGTGGGGATCTCTGGGTGTCATGGGAAGATGGAGCAAAAGTTTTTGAAGATCTACTCCTCGATTATGATTGGTCTTTAAATGCTGGTAACTGGATGTGGTTATCAGCCTCTGCATTCTTTTACAAGTATTTTAGAGTGTACAGTCCTGTTGCATTTGGAAAGAAAACTGATAAGGAGGGAATGTACATTCGCAAATATGTTTCTGAGTTGAAAAAGTACCCTACTGAATTTATTTATGAACCATGGAAGGCACCTAAGTCAGTGCAAACAGCTGCTGGTTGTACAATTGGTGTAGATTACCCTAAGCGAATAGTTGACCATGACAAAATTCATAAAGAAAATATGCAAAAAATGTCAGCAGCTTATAAACTTAACAAGGAAAAAAAATCCCTTAAAAGACCCAGATCTGACTAAATTTAATAATTTTAATGTCAAGGGCGTCGCAAGTAATTAACTTTCAAACAAATTTATTTTATACAGTAGAAAAATAAATGGATGTATTTCTATAGGGTCCGACTCTTTCTGGCGATGCTCTGTGTGTTGAAGTATGTAATAGTCTCTAAGCTACTAATTTTACAGAGGCAATATAATGTTTTATGTTTAATTTGTTTTCACAATGACCCTAAAATGTATATAATGCATAACCAAACTGTTATGGAATCAGTGTTCACAACCTGAAGCCAGGCAGTTATCGTACCAGGGCCGTAAAATTATCGTATATGTGATCCATATACGATAAATTATCGTACAGTCAGGAAAATTGCTAAAAATACTTTAAAAAATCATATGAAACGTGAAAATAAAATGTTGCAAACGATTTATAGTTTAAATCTTGTAAACTTGCGTTTTTCAAATTGAAAAAAAAAAAATAATTCAATCTCTTCCGTCAAAGAGGAACAAAAATACGTTTTTTTCTCGTTCATTTTACATCGCATATTATTTTTATCACTTAAAATTCGTTAGGTATTAAAATGTTATCGAAGACTTCCAAATCTGCGTCACCATACAAATCGTGAATTTTTTGGCTGTGCATTCTGATGCGTTTTTGTGTTTGTACATTAACGCTTTGTTCATCTGCTGTAGTTGCCTTGCATAAGTGCCTAATAGAAAAATAAGCCAATAGATGGCACTGACACTAAAAACTGTAATTGTTATTGGGATATCTGTGTAATCATCAAATTTTTTATCAGACTGGAAATTATCGTACAATCTGCGTACGATAGTCATGTACCATCGTACATCGTACGTAGTTATGAAATTATCGCAAATGTACGATAATTATCGTACGGTTGTGAACCCTGTCATGGAATATGGAATTGAAAATGTGAATTGACACTTGACAGGCACAGGCCACAGACTCACAAGTTGCAATAGAGTATAATAGATACTTGATGTCAAGTTACCATCGGTTAAAAGTAAAAACGTTGTTTTGGTTTTAATTTTATTACAATATTATCATTTCATAATAAGAAAATAAATTCTCTTATTTTAACGAGTTGTATTCGTTAGATACAAGATTGCATGATGTTATAATAATAGCGCAATGCTTTAACCGAAGGCAAACAAAAGCTAAAATGTGGGCGTTGCGAAATTAACTAAAAATTATAAACAGATATTGTTATCTTAAAAGGTGAGCATTTTTATCTTCTTCCGCATTCATAAAAATTAAATTTATATTAAAAACTGCTGTTTTTTTTGTAATTCATACTTTGTAGCCTCACCCTAAAACTATTTAAAATGAAAACGCCGAAGAATATGTTTATCATCAATTTATCTCCAATTTATATGTATGGTAAAGATTATTTATCATATTAATCGAGCGTAGTATGCAATCTAGCACCAATGTTTTACTTTTTTTAATAAAAGTCTTAATCTGGAGAAACACCGGAGTACCTATTCATGATATTAATTTATTAACTACTTGCCACTTAAGATAAGTAACTTAAGTATTACTTATAGGTCGCATGACCTATTATATAAAGTCCTTCATGTGATGGTGCATCCACATTCCTGTGTCCTTTGTGTTAATAATTTGTTGTTTTACTTTAGAAGGTGATCCACCTTCAATACTTGACAAACATTGATGTGGATGCACCACTCTAGGACAGGGGAATATTTTAATTCATAATCATAGAAGGTTAGTTAGTTCAGTGCCTATTGTATGTAATTATGTTGCTATGTAATAATAAGCTAATATTTAGAGGATATAGCTGACTGCTTACTCGTATTTGGTTCAATATTGCATTGGGTCATCAGCACTTGTTTAACCTCTATACTCTATTAGTCATAGCAATTAATATAATTTAAAAACTCATACATACATGATTTCAGCTGATTGATGTCTACATAAAAGGTACATAATATGTATAAAATTGTCTACAGGCACATCCATCACACTGACAACATAACAACATAAAAGTATGTGATGTTGACTTTGTAATATAAGCTAAATTGGAATTATGTATTCCACAAACAAATTATTGGGGTTACAAAATATTAAAAACAAAAAAATAGGCATTTCCTGAAAAGTCTACTTATTTTGAATTATTCATACAACTCCTTAAATAATTAGTAGTTGATAAATATCAAGTAGCTATAGAAAGTGTCATATACACAGTCAAATGTACAAATGCCAATAGTAAAACAAATATTATTGAGAGCTTTTTAGTATTTGAAATATTATTTATTACTCTTTCCTAAATTACATGTAAGTATACAAACATATATATCAACTAATTAAACAAGCCTGAAACATTGACCTAAATAGTCCCATCTATCTTCAATAAACTAATCTCAATAAAGGTTAATTTAGTAATTTAGATCCATTCATATAATCTAAATTGATGCAAGTATATTTTCTCTTTCTTAATAAAAAACTACCAGTCCTTATCCATAGTCTTCTATTATCTGTACTGAGGTGTAGAAAAGGATCATTCTAAATATATATAGAAAGATCATAGAAAGCATACAAATAAGTGACAGCTCATTGGTCTAGCGGTTAGTACCCCTGACTGCGAATCCATGGGTCCCGGGTTCGATTCCCGGCTGAGACAAACATAGATGTGATGAGCATTTGGTGTTGTGCTTAGGTCTTGGGTGTTTAAATATGTATTTATATGTGTTAGGTCTATCTATGCATAATATGTATGTATATCCGTTGCCTAGTACCCCCCATAACACAAGCTTCACCAGCTTAGCATGGGATTAGGTCAATTGGTGTGAATTGTCCAATCATAAAAATAAAAATAAAACTTTCCAACTGAAACCCTTAAAATTATGATAGGGTCAAACTGGGTATGGAATAGTACAAGTCTCTAACAAGTACAATTGTCCAATTGCCTATATTCTCTAATGCATAGGTTAATGGGATAACAGGCTACTTCGCGAATAACTTCCTCCGGTGATTTGGAAACTAGATTCAATAGAAAGCAATTTTAGGCTTGGCTTTGTACAGTTGATAGAAAAGAGTAAATTCTGTTGTAGTGAATTGTACTCTTTTATATTTTAATGTAAAATTTATGTTCTAATTTAAGTCCCGACAATTTTTTTTTAACACTGCCATGGCAAAATGCTTTGAGAATTATTAATTAAATAAAGTTACTTGTTCGGAATACGAAATACCACCCGTATCACCTCGACGTCCGCTGTTCCACAACTGAGCGTTTTTAAGGCAGGTTATGCCACCATATGGAACCAGCTGCTCACTGAAGTATTTCGAACCAATTCCACTTAAGGACTCCTTCAAGATAAGAGCGTACCAATTCTTAAAAGGCCGGCAACACATTTGCGTGCCTGCTAGAAATGTGAGTGGCGTTAGGTGGCGGTATCACATAACATCAGGTTAGCTCCGTCTGTATTGAAAAAATACTTGATATTCTACTCAGACTCGTCTTTGCAGTGGTTCGCTTTATTCTTTATGTTTCTGCCATTTTCTTTATAAACCGATGTCCCCTAGACCTACCCAAAACTTTCATCCATTGAGTGTACATGATATCATGTACGTGATGACACGAGTTATAATTTTTGTTTCAGGGCTCAGAATGTCGATGCGAGGCGTGGTGCGATGAAATTAGGACCGCTACCATGTGATATTGAAAACATCCAATTATCATGAACCTGTGAATCTGGTACGTGTACAATTAGTATACAAAATTTTATATCTAAACATAAACTGCCTTCCGTGAATTTTGCCCGTCACGGTGATCTTTAAAGCTGTCAGAAATGAAATTACATTATTATAATTATAGCAACAAAAGTTTTCTTTAGTTTAGTTTGCATACTAACATTATTTTAACATATAAAAAAGGAGCAACGGTTTGTAGGTATAGGTTTTATAATGTTCTTCCCTTGAATTGAATGCCGTATTGAACCCCGTGGGAACATAATAGGGCAGTGTGGCGGGATGAGGTGTTTTTAGTAAGTAGGGCCTTGCTGATCAGCAAGGGGTCTGAGAACCAGAGCCTCAGACCCCGCGTCAAGCCCGTCATGCCGTGGCGCGGGCCTGATTCATCGCGTTTTCACCTCGTTTAAAATGGATTATTTAAATAAAGTTGCATAATTTAGCACTCTTTAAAATTTACATGCTTTTTTTATTACGTGAGTATTTTCTAAGACATCATGGAACATTACGATCTAGCCTAACGTGAGACTAATAAGTAATTTTAGTCTAATCTAATTTACTAATAAGGATAAGTAAGTTTCCGTTAACTACTACTTACATTCTCTATTAAAGGGAAGACACTATCTTGTGTTCTATTTTCTAAACATGAACATATAAAAGAAGAATTAACGGTTCAATATAGAAAAACATGTGTGAAGAAAGGATCGTATGTATTAATTGAACTGTTAATAAGATTAATAAAACATTTCTCGATTCGTATAATTTAACCTGTTTAGTATTGCAATAATTATCAAACTTACAGAAAATATTAAGGAAAGGCTTCGAGTAATAATATATATACTTACCATATCACATGCTTTATTTTTGGGGCACCCGAGCGGTGCTTACATTAATGAAACTAGAACAGTGACTAAATTAGGTTCAAATTTGTTACGTAACGGTCGGGTAATTTCCGTATGTACCGATCCCGACTATTAAATCAGTGGTAATATAATTAATAAAATACAGAAGCCATTATTTTTATTTACACTAATAACAAAACGAGATTAAGCTTAATTAAAAATTAATCCGCATTTGCCTCTGCGGCGCAGGCTTCTGTAAAGAATTCATGTCATCCTATCTCTTGCCAACCATCATTATCGCCAGATATGGAGATAAACGCGTCGAATTTGAAGAGTTTTTGAAGGTGAAATGTGTACAATCTTTGCTCTTTAGCAGAACTATCGAAAGTATTACACAATAACTCTGGCTAATATTTTGTTCTTCCTCATTTTAAGGCAGTTAAAATCTTCAT